CAGGAACAGAAAGCCAAACGTCACATGTTCTCACTTATAAGCGGAAGCTGAACAATGAGCACACATGGACACAGGGAGGGGAACAACACACACTGCGGCCTGTCAAGGGGGTGGAGGGAGGGAGAACATCAGGAAAAATAGCTAATGCACGTGGGGCTTAATACCTAGGTGATGGGCCGATCGGTGCAGCAAACCACCATGGCACATGTTTACCTATGTGACAAACCTGCATGTCACATCCTGCACATGTATCCTGGAACTTAAAAGAAAATTAATTTTTTTTCTTTTTTTTTTTTTTTTGGTTGTTTTTTTTTTTTTTTTTTTTTTGAGACGGAGTCTCGCTCTGTCGCCCAGGCTGGAGTGCAATTACCAGATCTCAGCTCACTGCAAGCTCCGCCTCCCGGGTTCACGCCATTCTCCTGCCTCAGCCTCCCAAGTAGCTGGGACTACAGGCGCCCGCCACCTCGCCTGGCTAGCTTTTTTTGGTATTTTTTAGTAGAGACGGGGTTTCACTGTGTTAGCCAGGATGGTATCGATCTCCTGACCTCGTGATCCGCCCATCTCGGCCTCCCAAAGTGCTGGGATTACAGGCTTGAGCCACCGCGCCCGGCCGAAAATTAATTTTTTTTTAAAAAAAAGAATTAATTGCCTAAGCTTCAAAGCATTCTACAAAATATTTATTTCCACCACAAAGCAGGTTTATATATGTATATAAACTATATATATATGAACTGTATATATGAACTATATATATATGAACTATATATAAACTATATATATAAACTATATATCTATATCTATATCTATATCTATATATAGCCAGCTCTTATAAGTGTCATTGTAAACATTTCCAAAAGAACAGTGTTCCAAAGTCTATGGAAAGAGAACTGTACTATTGTCTAAGAGACTTCTTGTGGCATTAGTGCTATTTCAAATCTAGAATTAAAACAAGGCTTTGAAAGGAAAAGCCAGCACCAGTGGTTTTCGGGGACAATACGGACATACTCTAGAGGACTTCAGTGGGGACTCCAAGACAGAAGGCAGCTGCTAGAAACAGCATGTGCTCACTGAAGCTGAGAATTCAGAGTAGGAGGTAAGGGTCTGAGAGTCACAGTTCAAATGCTCCTTGGACCTTCCTGTTACAAACAGAACTAGGAACTCATGAGAATGATTAGACTGAATTGTAATTTTTCTGTTCATGCACATCTGTGAGCTCCTAAGTAAGGGATTGAATTTCATTCTTCTTCATAAATCTCTACCCACGTACCTAGCACAGAGGCTGCTATTTGGGAGGTACCTAATACATATTGATTCAACTGAACTGATGGGCCTGCCAGGAGAGAAAACTTTTTTTTCTTCCTGAAGAGTGTGAGGTTCCCAGTATCCTTGAATAAGGCCTAAAAGAGCAAATCATCAAGAACTACTCATCAAAAGATCAGCCAGCTTTGGTCCCAAAACCTAAAATCAAAGAGAGTACCACAATTTGCCATTGCCCTGAAGGTATTCCAGCACTCAGCAGGGGCTGGTAATTTGAACAAGGGGACCGCTTCAAGCCTGCAATACTACAATTTTTGTAGCACTGATGTGTGTAATTTTGGCCACAGTTTAACACAGGATAACAAATAAAAGCAGTATTTTATTTGTCTATAGTTGTTTATCTAACACAATAGACGATAAGCTTTTTTCTGAAATTCTGTTTACTGTGATACTTTACCTAAATTAACTAAGCATTGCTCCTCTGCAGTATCATCTACACAGGGCCAGAGTCTCCATTAGAAGCCTTAGGCACATTGCCCAGAGCTTACGGTGCCTTGAATGCTTCCCAAAAATGATTTAATTTCTTTTAAAAATCAGAAAAATATAAACTTTTAGGTTAAAGAAGATATTTAAATAAAGAAGAAAATATATTCACCTGTATGCTAATGCAGTCATAAAATATAATTTTAACTTGGCAAGGCAGGGAGTGGGATTCATAAAGGAAAACATCATAAAAGTCATAACTGGACCTTGTAACCACATATGCCAAGATGTGTCAAAGTTGGTGTTATAAAGTAGATAATCTTGAAAATCCTGTTTTTGGGAAAAAAAAGTCAGTCCATTTTTCATAGATGGATGGGTTGTTGTTACATACACAGAGACAAAATTGGGAGTTGGGATGGGGTGGTGGGGGAGGCAGGAGATGGGTGAGCTGAGTTGGAAGGAACAATGATCCTCCGTGTTTTATGACTGTGACCCTCATTTCCTCTCTCACTAGCAGACTGCTGTAGCTAATTAGCAAATCAAAAGAAACAGAAACAATTCTAGACCTCAGCACAATCAAATTAGTGGAGTTATTTGAGGATATCATTTTCACACAGTGCAATCATGCTCTCTTTGTTTTGGTCAAACGAGTGAAAATTATCTTTCAAACCCGACGCCCTTCCCTCTACCCAACTGGCTCTGTGGATAGTGGCATTTCCTATCTGCTCTCATAAGTTTTACAGATGATCTTTTTCTATTAAGACAGGAATGTACAATGTACAATTAAACAATACCCAACAAGCTTCCCTTTTAAAAATACATTTGACTTTTAAGGTGATTCAGCAGTAAGAGCCATTAGTACATCATCTAAATCAGGACTTGGAAAGTTTATTAAAATTGGATTTTTAACCTGATCCCAATTTCCTTTGCAGATAAAGAATCCCACTGGAGTCTTTAATATTCATGCTATTAACCTGAAAGATTCGAACAACCACGATGGGAAGAGAGGCTATACAGCGCTGCCCACTAGACTAGGGTTACAAATAAAATCCCATTGAGTCTGGGCAGGTAGACTACTGTGGATTCTGGGCATCTTCAAAAGGAGCAAATTCTCTCTTTTTCTCCTCTCCGCTTTACCTGACTTCCCCCTCTCCTATTACATATTTTGGGGGAAAGAGAAAAACTACAAAAACAGCAAACATAAGCACACTACTCAATTACATAGAGCACTGGACTAGGAGTCTAGTTTTTACTGGAAGGGTGGTTTCCTCCTCTAGTGCTCTAATGAACTCCCTCAATTATAAAACAGGGAAGTCTGGGCTAATAATCTCTAAGATTGGTTGAGAAGATGCACTTTGGAGTCAGGTGAGAACTATTTGAGTATCAATCCTACCACTTATTAGTATGTCACTTTGAATGCGTCACTAAACCCTTCTAAAGCTCCGTTTCCCCATTTATAAAATGAACAAAAGGTGCAGCTCATATGATTCATTTTGCATAGTACCTGGCACTGGAAGCCTTAGATACACGTTAGCTGGTATTATTACTGATCACTGCCCAAACGCATAGGTCAGTTGCTTTTGTTTCTATTTCATGCCTTTTCACTCCTTGAGCCTTTATCTTCTTCAGAACAATTTACAACTGTGTTAACTGATGCCTGTGAGTTTCTGTAAAGATAGGCTATGAATGTTAGCCTTGTTTTTCCTTGAGATAAGATTTTATGCTCTCTTAGGGCAATGGAGATATCTTAATTTTTCATCTCTCCCTTGGTAACTAGCATAGTGTTATACACATACCAGGTGCTCAATAAAGACTTGGAGATCTTAAAATATCAGCAGTACAGAGATCTTCCACGAAAACCCTCTCATTTTTCGGTTGTTGGCACAGAGAAAAAGAGTCTTGGGCCACACATCTATGACTGACAGCCGCTTCACCAGTCCACTACCACCGTGTCTTCCAGGAGCCTCTATTCTCATGCCTCTGGCTTTGAAAGAGAAACATGTTTGACTTAAACCCTGACTCCTCGAGGGAAGTTCCATTTACAAACTTTTTTTTTTTTTTTTTTTTTTTTAAGAGCATAGTATATTTCAGATACCATACAGGATTCTGGGATTCAGATACCATGCAGGATTCATCATTAAATCATGATACCAGAGCTCAAAGCATTTATAATCTATCAGGGAAGACATCCCTAAATAGATGTTTCAATAATGTGCTTGTGTTGTTACAGGAGAGCTAAGCTCTGGTACTATATGAACTTCTGGATAGGAAACCTAACTCATGACCAGAAGACTTCAGGAAGAGCTATTTAGCAGCAGTGGCAAATGCCTGGACTCACACATAAAGCTAAGTAAGAACAAAATAGCCAGTTGATATTTTTATTTATCTGAATGTAAGAACATTGATTATTGAACAATGAACAATTGCTCAGATTTTAAAAGAAATGAGGAAAAGTAAAATGCTAGTCCTCAAATTCCTGTCACTTCACACTTGTGCCCTGCAATCATTTCCTGCAAATGGAAACTTCTAACAAAAACTCTGGGCTGGAGACCTGGGGTTCCAGTTTCTTTCAAGGTCTTGTGGTAGGGAACTAAGTAGGTCAGTAACCTGCCTTTGGCTTCCAGGGTGCAAACAGAATCATTGCTAACCCCCCTTGTGTCTCACAATGGGTAATGAAATTCATACTATGGCACCAAAGCACTTTGAACTCTTTAGAAAAAGCAATCATATCAACTTAGAGCATCAAAACCGCTCCGTATTTTGAAGGACTCATGATCTGCAGTGTGCTTGGCTGCTGGTGGAAGCTTAAAGACACTAGTAATTGGCAGAACTTTATCTTAGACTTCCATTTGACCCTCACAACCTCATGCATGATTTTACACAGCTTCCTGTAATGGGGGAGAAAAGCACTTCTTTTAAATCTAATGTTAGTTGAAATGCTAAGGCTTTCAAAGTGGGGCTTTAAAGTCACTTTTTAGAAATTGTTTTTTTTTTTTTTTTTTTTTTTTTTTTTTTTTACTTAAAATAGACATGCCAACATTATTCTGACTGAAAGAAGTAGACAAGGTCATTCAACTCCTAAAAGCTTATTTTCCAAAAGCACAGTTAGGTCTCAGCTTTCGGGGTGCTTCCGGCTTTATCAAAAAGACAGAAAATACTGGTCACTGTGTTTCTTTCTCAAAGTGCGGAGGGTAATCTGTGTATGAGATAAGGGGCCAATTTCCTATAGGAACTTTCTCTTAGATGGGAGAATATTTTTAAATTAAACAATGTTGGTGTAATATATTTAAAGGTAAATCACAAATTCTAAGTCTTCCAAATATTTATTTACTAATATGTAAGACATGGAAACTATAGAAATCTCATTTAAAGGAAGTTACTTTGATGTACATTTGGTTTTTGGGGGGTATGATTGCTGTTCGCCCTTGAGGGCAATTTGCTTTGACTCAGGTAAGCAGGCAAGCCCGTTTCTCCAAGGCGATTCCAACTCCACGCCCCTCAAAACCTTAAATCTTAAATTGAGTTATTGGGTGCAGGTCGGTTCTCCCACAGAACCTCCCAGCTTCCGGAAGAGAGCGGCGGGGCAGAAAGACTCTGCTTTTTATTTCAGAGCTGACGTTTGCAATCCTAGTGCACTTGAAAAAAAAAAAAAAAAAAAAAAAAGAAAAAGAAAAGAAAAGAAAAAAGCTGAATTTTCCGCGCTCTTCTGGCAAATTGGCGTCCACTCTCTGACGCGAAACCAAAGGAGGAGTATTCAATGGCGACAGGGCGCTCTTTGAAGCCGGCTCCTTGCGGGGATTCCGGCCCAGGCCGCCGCCGCGGTCCCAGTCCGGCTGCAGAGCGAATTGGAGAGGATGGAACCTCCTGCTTCCCGCGGGGCGGAAGGAGCGCCAGCGTCTAAGGTGGGTCACCTGCCGGGAAGGGAACACTGGTGGTGCAGACGCACGTGGGAGGAGCACAGGTCCCGGGTACAAGTGCCGAGCTGGCGACTTGGGGAAGAGGTAGGCTCGGGCTCAGACCAAGCAGGCGTGAGGGAGTAGACCGGACGTCCCAGGTTTGCAGTGACGGCGGAATCACCCACCCAGCCGCCTCACCTTCCTGGAGCGCTGGTCCTTTCCCTTGGACCGAAACCCGAGGGGCCGCCGCACCGGGTGGGTGGGACCGACTACTCCGGGACCCGCCGTTGGAGCTGCGTGCCAGGCGGGGCTGTGCGGAGCAGCTGAGCACAGAGTGGAGCACCAGGCACCTAGCGGGCCGGACTCGGGGTGGCACCCAAGCGGGCCGGACAGCAGTGGGCGCTCGCGATCCTCCTCTGCCCAATGCGCTCTCCCTCCGGGCCCGGCCTCCTTCGTCCCCTCCTTCTACTCCTGCTCCTCCTCCTGCTCCTCCCCTCCTCGGGATTGAGCACCAAAACGCCCGCCTGCAAGGTCCTAGGCGCGCTGGCAACCAAGAGTCGCCGCCACCACCGCCGGGTCTCAGTGGGTGCCTGCGCCTTCTCCCCGCCCGCCTGCCCCGGGCCGTTCAGAAACTTGCTCCACCCGCCGCGGGTGCTCGGCAGTACTGCCCATGGCCCAGCCCAGGAGCCTATTTAGGGCGCCGGACGGGCTGGACAGAGGCGCGGCTCAGGTGAGTGCGGCGTGCGCGGGGTGGGAGAGCGGCAGGACACAGGTGTAGGGGGCTCCGAGGCGCCTTAGTCTGGCGTTCTGGACTTCGGGCAAGTGCAGAATCCAAGAAGAATCGGGGCTGGAGCAGGTGGAGTGGATGCAGAGGGAACCAGGAAGAAGAGGCTGGGGATTTTCCCATCCTCCTCACCTCTTGCCCTAGCACCTCTGCTCTGGAAGTCCCGAGGGACCGGTTGATCTGTAAGGACAGGGATCCGGATTTCTGACTCTTACTGGGTTGGGTGTTTTTCCCCCCAGCAGAGTCGGGAGGTTCGCTCCTGCCAGCTGCTTGGCGACTGCAGCTTCAACATAGGACCCTGTGGGGCAGCGAGAGCGCAGCACTCAACGGAGCCTGGGTACCACCTGGGGCCAGAAACTGGGGCGATGACACAGCCCGCAAAAGTAACTCGGTCGAGGGAGCCTTTGGAGGTGGAGAAGCCTTGGTCGGGTTTGCCTTTGCATTTGGTTGGAGATAGGCATCCCCAAGGGAGAAATTGAGGCGACAGCCCTGACAATAAGTAAAGCTGTCGTCCCCAATGCCAATTACGTGAGGGTCTTTTTTTTTCTTGTTACTTTATACTGATATTTTTTTCCCCTCGTGGGTTTCTATTTCCGGGCCCTTGGGCAGCGGATGGAGGTGAGGGATGGCGGGGCGCGAACCTGCGGTTGGAGCGCCTAGCCTCCGGATCCCAAGAAGGGTTTTATTCGCGGAACTTGACCTCGCCAGGTGCGCTCTACCAGCCAGGGGGCGGACCGCGCGCTGCTCCTCCTTCTGGCCCCAGCCCGTCCCGGGAAGCGGAGGACAGACCCAGAACGTAGGCGGATGATGGGAAGAAGAAGCTGGAGCCAAAGCCGGGTGCCGGCGCGGGATGGGGTGTGCTGGACTCTTGCAGTTATTTGCCGGCGCTATAGGTCTTCCATCTCTTTCCCTCCCCCGGGAGCCAGCGATTCATCGCACACTCAGGGCGCTCTCTTGGGCCGGGGGTTGCATCCTTCTCTCTTCCTCCTCCTTTGCAGAGCCAGTGGTACCCCTTGCCTCCCCTTGCGCTAGTCTCGCTCCTCCCTTCCCCACAACGTTATCATGAGCTATTTTTATCTACAACTTATGCCAAGATGCTTTTGGGGGGATTCTAGGGAGGCCACTCCAAATCCACTGTCTTTGCGCTGCGCTCCGAGAAGCAGTCTCTTGCTAGCATGGAGCAGCCTCAAGGAGTGGCGGGGAGGGGAGTCGAGAACGGAGGAACCAGTCCGCCCTCTTCTCCTCCCTCAGCCCTAGCCCCGGAGGGAAACCCCGCCACCACCAGCTCGGCTGCGCCTTCCGCCACTAGCCCAGGAAGAGGGTCCCCAGACGAGTCCCCACGCTCTCGCTCTCAGGCACTGGGTGCTCGGGGACTGCTGAGGCAGCAGCCTGGCACAGGCAGGATCCTTCATTTCCACCCGTGCGTTCTCGCTTTGCAGGCAAATCTCGTTTTATGTTGTTGAAATGCTTCCACCCAAGGGTTAATTCCAGGAATTCCATCTTTAAAAAAAAAAAAAAAAAAAAGAGAGAGAGAGAAATAACCCAACTTCTTCTGCCGCCCTGCATTTCTAAAGCAAAGCGCATCCTTTGGCATTCGGATTTTTTTCTTGCTTTCTGCATTCCTGGTAATTTTGGGTAACACTGAGTGCAATTAGAATAAGACTTACCTACTAAAATTCCAAGAAACGCGCGCTTGGCTGCAAATCCCTGCCTTACCCTTTCCTTTGTATATCCAGCGCTTAGATTTTCCCCCACAGGATTGCAGAAATAACATATTGAAATGGACCATTGTGTTACATAAGGTTTTCTCCCGCGTTAAGCGGAGAAAGAACAGCTTCTAAAAGAGTCTCTTTAGGTTTTTGGTTAGCCCATCTAACTCTTTCAGCTGAGTTTGACAGGGATGGACAACTTCATGACTAAGCACTCTTACGTGGAAGCGGTTAATTACAACAGCAGCATAGATGAAGATTCCTTAGTGAGGCTTATTAAGCTGTGCTTCTAGACTGTGGAGCTTCTGTGAAGCCACAGGGAATACAATGCTCTGTAGTTTTAAGATGGGAGATTTTTGTTCTGAGAAGCTGGTGAGAAAGTGGCACCTTGAGATGGCATCGGAAAAAGCAAAGGGTTCTTTACTTTCCTGTCATTATGTCTAGGATGCAGCCTCAAGTCCTCCTAGGGTTCCCCCCAAACTTGGAGCATGTACTTTTCTTATTAAAATAAGAAATTATTTTACTGGAAAAATCTGGGGAGCGGTGTCTCTGAAGGGAAAAGTCACATGGAAGCTTTTCTTGCCTTGAATTGAAACTTGATGTTGACTAGGAAGGGGCTGGAAAGATGGCCTGGGTGGTGTAAATGGTTTCATCCGTGCACAGTGCCTTTCGAGACCATGGCATCTACCCATGATGGCATATCCCCACCGTGGTTGCTAAATCGTGTCTGTCTATGGGGGCTAAGGTTTGGAGGAAGGCACGGTAAGATGTATTGGGTGTCCTGATGAAATTGAGCCTGTCCCCTGGGTCAGTGCTCAGGCACCAGGTTTCGGGGCCTGCATCTAAGCCTGGGTCCCTGTGTTAGAGACAGTTGTTGTAGGAGGAGTGGTAACATTTTAGCAGCTTCCAGGGAAATGCAGTAACTTTCCAGCTAGTGTTGGAAAAAATCAGGGCTAGTCCTCATTTTTTCCCTCAACCTGGCTACTTGACCTCGTGCTTTCAATTGAGGCTGCTCTTTTCTTCCGGCAGAAGGCAAGAGAGTGCTAGCTGGATTTCAAGTCAACTTCTTGCCCCATGACCTTGGGCAACAATTTCTCCCTCCCTGAGCCTAAGTTTCTTCCTCTGCAAAATAGTGATGAAAAGATTATTATAAGAAAGTGAGAAAATGTATACGAAATGCATCTTGCCAATTATAGGACACTTGTGCAATTGTAAAGGATAAAAAATACAAAAAAAAGTTTTATTGTAGATCTATTTTAATGTTCATTTTAATTGTAGTTTGCATATGTCTGAGTAAATTACATATGCTAAACATTAAGTGGGAGAGATTTCATATAATTGGCCAGTCTCTTCTTGTGATCACCCCATCTGAATGCTACAAGCAGCGGGCCTCACTGCTTCTCAGAATGATTCCTTTCTTGTTTACAGGATCACAGTCAATTTTTAGAGTTTTTTTCCTTTTAACATAATACGTGTTAAGTGTCTTAAGAAAATCTATTTGAAGAGAAGGTCCTGATGTTAATTAATCAAAAACAGGAGAAAAGTCACAAATGGGCAGTAACTCCATTGGGGAAAAGTAAAACACGACCAGTGTCACGAGATGACCCGGGCCCCCCTCGTCTAAATCTTTCATCAGTATAATGCACTGACTCCCCATCGCATTTTAGGTGTTGTTCCAAACTGTCTCCAGAACCTAACTCAGTGCCTGCCTGGCACTTAGACATTCAATAAGTATGTTTGGAATAATTGAATGAATGATTGGACTGAATCTTCACAGCAACCCTGGAGAGCAGATGGCGTCATTTCTATTTTAAGGATTTGGAATCTGCCGATCGGAAAACTTAATTAATTTTCTAAAGGTACAAAGGATTCCAGACTAGAATTCAGGCCTGTCTGTTCCTATTCCACTCTGCAGTCGTGCCTGTAGTGCCCTCTCTCTTCAGACTCACTTAAAATCCTTCTAAGCAGTGGGAACCAAACATCCTATTTAGGAAACACAAGCTTCCCTTCATAGAAGGATTTTTTCGGTGGGAGATGGGCCTCTTTCTCCTTGTCCATATCTCCCAGCCCTGAACTAGGGCTTAGTTGAATGATCCCACCTGGGGCCTGGAATCTTGAAAGACTAGCTAAAGGACACAGGGACACTGGAGTGTTTGTTTACCACCTTGGGTCATGGATCAAGTGGCATTGGCAGCGGTAGGCATGTCCCAAGCTGTGGTCCCAGAGGTGCCTGTTTCTGCAACACCATCTTGACGTGCCCCTGGTGCCCAGGTTCCTTTCATTCCTTGTCATTTTCCAATCCTGGCTTTTCAGCTTCTCGGCAATTCCTAGAGGCAACCCACAGTCTTCAAGTGAATTCCCTTTCTCCCTGACTTAGCCAGAATTGCAACCTGCTGATGTACAGCTTCTCCCCATTCATCTTCAGGCCTGTCTCCAACATGAAGCATCCTTAGCTTCCTTACCCTTGGGGAATGAAGTCTATAGCTTTTTCGGATCGTTAGAATAATATCTACTGGGTCGTAGTTTGTCAATAGTTATGTGCTACTACAAGAGGTCTAGAAAAATGAATACATTATTCTTCCAAGCGATAGTCTGAACATAACAGAAATGGATCCCAGTGGGCATCTTTCTTTTTCTCTAATACATGCTTTTTGGTAGTTTTCCAGCAGGGGTCGCAAACTCTAATGCCTTCAGCCAGGCAAGTAACAGCTTGAGTGGAACAGGACTTGGGCCCTGTGCCTGAGTAAGTGGGGGTTGTAGTCCAGATCCAGCACAGGGGTTGCAGGCGGGACTTCAGGTCTGCTCTTGCCAGATCTGGTTATTTTTTTTTTTTTTCCAAGATAGACTGTCAATTCACAGTTTTATGTGAAATCTACTCACTTTCAAGTGCCAGCAGCTAATTCAATATTCCTCAATAACACCATGTGGGCCAAACCAAACATTTCTGTGTGTAAGCCTTGTATCTGTCACACAGGCCTCCAATGTATGGCCTCCCAGTTTCCAGGGACATAAGGGAAATTTGGAATATGAAATTCAGGAGAGTATGTTATTCAGAATATTGAGGCAAGAGTGTAGGGGCATGGAGTGCAGACGGTGCTCTGGTTAGTTACTGTTTACTTTTACAGAGTGAACCTCTGTTCGGGATGTTCCTTCTTCCTATCTCTGTGACCGGTTACAGCAATCGCATTTACTCCTTTAACACATGTTTATTGAGTTCCAGCCATGTACTGCGTATTGTTCTGCTCACTGGTGACACAGTAAGGAACAAAACAGATGGAAGTCCTAGCCCTTGTGCTTATCTTCCAGCGGAGGAGACAGACAAAAAGCAAGACAGATAAGCAGAATCTCTCCTAGTTAGATAGTGATGTGGTAAGGATTAAAAAATAAATAAAAACTCGGGGAAAGTGATAGGAAATATCAGGATACTGGGGAGGAAACTTAGGCTGTTAGCCAGGGAGCTTGCAGTTCAGTCTCTGGCTCAACATAACCCAAAGTTAAGTTTCATTATCCAACATAAATATTTTCTATGTGGGAGTTTGATTGTATCCTGGGACTATCATCTGGTGCGTAGTTTTGGATATTAGGCTATACTCTCAATTTTAATAAAATTGACTATTGAGCACGTTTATTGTCTGCCATGTACCTGGCATTGCATTATGTATTAGAGTACATTGATGAACAAAACCAATCAAGGAGTACCCTGCAAGGAAATTACAGAACAGCATGAAATACATTAAACATGATCTCAAATGATTAGGCAACTAAAGCGATTGAGGACTGTGGTAAGGATGCCTTTACTGTTGAGTTTTCATACTCAGAACTCTGATGTTCAGCAACTTTTTTTTTTTTTTTGATGGCGTCTCACTCTTGTCACCTAGGCTAGAGTGCAGTGGCGTGATCCCGGCTCACTGCAACCTCTGCCTCCTGGGTTCAAGGGATTCTCCTCCCTCAGCCTCCCAAGCACCTTTTTAATTGATCTTTTATTTTGTTCCAGGAATAGTTTATGTCTGTGCTTATTAACTTACTTTAAGCCTGCTCCCATCGTCCATGGAAATTTTTTTGAGGCTTCAATTTTTTTATCTGGCAATGATATTTTTATTATAAAATTTCATTTTGCATTATGAAAAGTATTTGGTTTTAAAAATGTGTTCCAAGTGTAAAGTGTATTTGTGCCCTTTGAGACTCTGGTACACCTTCTCCCAAATCTGCCCCCACCTTTGCTATTGATTGCTATTCACAAGGCAGTTGTGCAGGAGATTAAAAAAAAGTTCTTGTTGTTGATGAATCTGCCATTGAGTATGGGAGTCGGATAAATAACCAAGTCTCTGCCTGTCTCATGAGATGGGCCATCTCAAGAATATTTCCCTTTCATCACCCTCTTTCTTTCTTTCATAGCAATAATTTCTTCAGTAACGGAATTGGGTAGCAAGTATGTTTATCTGGAGTCACCTTGTTACTTGATTAGCTTATTTGCCTACTTTCTCACACTCTCCCACCAGAACATGTGCTCCAGGAGAGCAGGGGCCTGGAAGTATATGTTTGCTCCAGTTCCTAGAACAGTATATTGCTCAGAAAAGAAGAAACAGGCAGCATTTCTGTCTGGGGGAGTTAGGAAACGCTTCATGGTGGAAGAAATATTTAAGAAACGAGAGAGACATGGTGAGAACAGCCAAAGAAGAATGATAAAACATAGTCAAAATTGCGTAGCCCTCAAGCCTTTGTTGAAAACTCATTTGTCTATTTTAGGGATTCCCAATACGGTCAGTCCAGCTGAATAACTGGCGTATTAATACAAGCCCTTTGCTGAATAGATCCTGGTCTGCTTGTGCAAAAGCACTCTGGCGTGAAAAGAATGTGGTAGATAATTCCTTACTTTCACATAATATGACAATATCCACCGCCTATTTTATCTCTCGTACCCAGTCCTGCGAGGGCCACAGGGAAGCTCTTACCATCTTCATTTGCTATTGAAGGAAACTGAGGTCCAGGAATGAAGAAACTTTTTTTAGAGATGCCCAGAGTAAAGGGGGCAGACTCTCGATCCAGGGACAAGATTCTCTACCTGCTGTGAGCAGTTGGCTCAAGGTGGAGATTTGTTAAATCCCTGGAGAACTGAGTAGCCCACATTTTCTATAAGCAAAGAAATACATTTAGATGTGAAATATTCACATCTCCTTTCATCCCTCAAGAACTTCTATTTCAGCACTTTAGGTCTTGTCGAATTTCCCCTAGAATTCCTGCAGATGAAGTACTTGTACACCCTGCAGCAGGTTGTTTTATGGAAATGTCTTCGTTCTTTAGTTTAGGAGGGTAAATCAAAGTTCTGTATCAGCAGTTAAAATACAGTGAGAGAAAGGTGATTTCAGATGCCGCTGAAATGAAAAGACATGCTTGCCTAGCTGTGCTCCGAAAAACACATACTTGTGTGCCAGGGAATGAGAGTGGGTTGGGAGCCTCCTCTGGAAAACTGGCTTGCACTTTACTTGAATTACTTCTAAAACCAGATCTTTCCCAGTGTCCTGGGTAGGAAGGAGGGGGAGGGTGTTGGTTACAGATTTCTGAGATTAGATTTTGCAGCTATTTTTGTGGTTGAAAGAGCATGACTTTGGAAGTCATTTATATTTGAATTTCTGGCCTTGTTCTTACTGGTTGTGTCACTCTGAGTAATAGACAATTTTTCTGGGCCTCAGTTTTTTTCCATACTCCCATGAGGATTGAGGGAGATGGCCAATATGTAGTGCCTAGCACAATGTTCAATGTGTTTTGTCTTGTGTAGATTTGCCAGATTTAGCAAATACAAATACGGAACACCTAATTCAATTTGAATTTAAGACAGATAACAAATAATGTTTTAGTATAGTATGTCTCAGATACTAAAAAGTAAGAAATGTGTCATGTTTATCTAAAATTTCAATTTAACTGGACATCCTGTATTTTATTAGCATCCATATTCTCCTAGTAGAAGTTCTGAAAGATTCTTTTCTGAAAGTTCTTGTGCCATAGGAAGGTAAAGAAAGCAGTGTAGTCTTCAAGGTGAAATGACTTGTCCAGGGAGTACGGTCCAAGGCGAAAGAGAAGGGCTGTTTTCCTTGGTGAGCTAAGCAACAGAACAATCAAACCAAAGCAAGCTTATTTCTTTGCTTAAAAGGATCAAAAGAAGTGTAGACCAAAAGAGAGCTCTGGGCATTGAAGAAGTGAGCCCGATTCTTGCCTATGTCACCAAAGCACAAGCCAGATTATTCTCAACACCCTTCAAGAAGAAGGTATTTCAACCCCGTGAGGCCACCAGGGTAGTATTCATTCCGCTAAGATAGAACCTGATTAAATACTAACATTGCTCCAAGCTCGTTACTGCAGGGCTGGAATCAGAAAGACTAGCCTCACACAGGGTTCCACTGAGTACACTGAAGGGATCCTTTGTGCTTTGAAAACTCACACCTGAAATTGCTCCTGCAATAAAAGCTAATAAAACTGTTAGAGAGCTTTTCAGACTCGCTCCCCACAAATAGATGAACACAGATTATAAACTGAGTCTGAGATCTCTCCTGACTCCATGCTGTTCTGAGGAGGGCTGTGAAAATGTTGCATTTCCGTTTCAGGTGATAGTCTAACGGGGAATTAAATTGACAAGAGTTTTGTTACATGTGGACTTTCCAAAGCAGAGTTTCCTGCTTTCTTCAATAGTGAGGTATTGCTTTATGCCAAAATAACCGGTTCCTCTTGCGTGTAATATCAGTGACTCCTCGTTTAACCTGAACTTCTTACTAGCAGGGTGTTTACGTGAAATATGGGCCAGAAAGAAGGTAGAACAGCATTGATTAGTGTGAAGGCTTAACCAGCCAGAGAGATCTGGTTAGAATCTGCTATGCTCCTTTGCAGCCATGCCGTAAGAGGCGACCTACTTTACAGCTCGACGTCTCAGGCTCCCCCTCTGCAAAATAGGCTTCATTAAAATTATAGCACAGATTTTATTTCATGTGCATTAAATTAATAAGTTATGTCATGCACTTATACAATGTCTGGTTCACAGTCAGAATTTTTTTTTTAAAGATGCCATTAATGATGAGGGAAAGCAAGGAAGGCCTCTGGATTGCAAACTCAATGTTCTATCACAAAGACCACAGACTAATTTGTTTTTTCAAATTATATTTTTAATGGGTTAAACGTGCCCCTACCATATATGTTTTCTCACTAGAAGGCCCCTACTTTTTCTTATTTAAAAATTTTATTGTATTTTATTTTACTTTAAGTTCCAGGATACAAATGCAGAACATGTAGGTTTGTTACACCGGTAAATATGTGCCATGGTGTTTTGCTCCACCCATCAACCCGTCATCTAGGTTTCAAGCCCTGCATGCATTAGCTATTTGTCCTAATGCTCTTCCCCGCTCTCCCGCACCCCCAACTGGCCCAGGTGTGTGTTGTTCCCCTCCCTGTGTCCATGTGTTCTCATTGTTCAACTCCCACTTACGAGTGAGAACATGCGGTGTCACAAACTACATTTTATGCGTCATATTCATGGGAGAGCGTCTCAGTCTTTTGCCCTTTGTTCCTTTAGTCTTAATTTATATCATGCAAGTAAGCACTGTTATTCATTTTCTAGGCCAACAAATGAGATGCAACAATGTAGCAAAATATGGAAGGAACAGTGAGAGGAAGATGCAGAAAAAGTACAGGGAGAGGAAGAGAAGTGGGGAGATAAGATGAGATGGACGGAGGGCTAGAGAAAGGAAGAGATACAAGACAAGAGAACAGAAAAATCATGAAAAGCGGAAAGAAGGATTTGAAGAGCATAGAAGTCCAGTGATGTTTTGTGACAGGGTGGTCTTCAGCAGCCCCTGAGTAAACCCCAGTGCAGCCAGACCACTGAGAGTGGCACAGGCCACTCCCTCTCCCTGCCTCAGCAGAGCTTCTCAGAACCCCAACACAATGCCTCATGACCTTGAGGGAAAGACATAGAAACTGTCGGGTTCCAACTAGAAAGCATATGGAGCATGATAGGAAAGGGAGCATGTACCTTCTCCCCAGTCTGTTTCTGTGACAGCCGAACATCACAGATGAAAACTGAAGACAAGGAACCTGAGTGCCATCTTGTGGAGGGACAAGCCATGGTGCCCCTGTGGGTCCTCTCACTGTGTGTGGGTTTGGTTTGGTTTTAATGGTTTGCATGGTGTATCCTGGCCTTTCTCCTGTCCCTAAGCCCCACCTCCTGCTCCGTGGGAACTGAGTCTTTCTGGGGTGATGAGTACATTGATGCCAGTCATTCTGTGATGCAGGATCATTCTTGGGGCCAGAGCTCCATTCGCAGTTTGAAATTCATGGTGGCTCTGGGCACAAGAGACTTTTCCCTGATCCAAAAGGGAGTGTAGTATTTGAAGCATTTGACGATGGGGAAATGACTTGGCATCATTGAACTTTGGTCGCCTTATCTGTCAAATGGAATTATATTTCCTTATGGACTTTTGTTGTGGGAGCCACATTTTATGATGTATGCAAAGCACCCATGAGAGAGCTTGATATGTAGTTAAGTGTCTATAATGTGGCACTTAATAGTAATGATGATTTTTCTTGCTGGTAAGCCTGATTTTGATTGAAAAGCAGATTACAAATGTCATCATAGATCTAGCTGCTTATTGCCTTCCAGTCCACCTCTGCCTTCTGGCCGATCCTCCCCTCCAGGTGGCTAAAGTGCCGCAGTGTCCCAAAGCAGCCAATCTCATCACTTTGCTCTAAAGTAGGAGGAGAGCAAGGTGCAGGGGGGCTGCGAAGAGGGGGCTCTCTTTTAATCGCAGAGGAAAATCTTTCTCAAATGACAGAATATTTTCCCCTTGTGTCCCCTTGACCAAAAGCTAGGTCACAGGCTCATAGGTAAAATAATATCAGTGTAGGAAACTGAGGCAGGAAGACATTTGAAGCAATGAAAAAGGAAAATGAATCGACTATGGTAACTCTGAATTGATCCTTCTTGCCTTCGGGCAACAATTACACTTCTGTTCGTATATTACAATTGGAGATTGATCCTGCTTAGCTTCATCACTTCTCTTTTACTGCGGTCTTCAGCTAAAACACAAATCTTATATCTTTCTGGCTTCTGTTTTGTTTTTCCTTCCCAGCTGTGTCATTTTTACAGCCATTTGCAATCTGCAATATTTCTCTATGTTAATCTCTCTTGCTAACCCGAGAAATCTTTGTAAAACACAAATGTAATCAGGTTATTGCCCAGTCCTGTAATTCAGAAAGTTCCATGGATTTCCATTATTCATAATATTAACGTTTAACTGCAGGACTTTTAGATGCAAGAAGAGGTCAAGTCCCAGCCACATCGCTTCATCACAATATCACCTTGGGCGGGTGAATAATCTCTCTAAACTTCAGGTATTCTTCCATGATTTTTAATTATGAATTTTTCATACACTCATTTATTAACATTTAATTTGTTCTAATAGATAAAATTGTGGGAGGATGGGGACTTTGTCTAGAGCTCCCCACTCCAAAATCTGTCTCTAATCTGAACCAATGCCTGGCAGACAGTGGTCACCCAGGAAATAATTGTGGAGTGAAAAACCATGCAACCTAATGCCCACCATTTCATAGAATAGCCAGGATTAAATACGATAATGCATTTACTTATTATTTTCATTAGAATGCATATGATTAACTTAGAATGTTTAATACACATAGTGGGTGCTTGAAAGCTAGCTCTCCTTTTAGTTTTGTTTTTGTTTTTTTTGTTTTTTTTTTTTTGTTTGTTTGTTTGTTTGTTTTAGTAATAAAAGTATTGCTGAAATTCAAGTTCTCCAGGATGGCTCTCACATTCTAATTTATTAAGCCTCATCATTAGCCACTCTCTGTTCTGTACACATACCTCATCATCTGACCTCAGGACCACCCTTGGTTCCCAGATAAATCAGGAATGTGAGCATTCACAGCCCTGCACATGCTGTTTCCTATGCCTAGAACTTCTGTACGTTCTCCCTTTTCTTATCAGGTTCAGACTGTATCATTCTTTTTTTTTTTTTTTTTTTTTTGAGACAGAGTCTCGCCCTGTCGCCCAGGCTGGAAGTGGCCGGATCTCGGCTCACTGCAAGCTCCGCCTCCCGGGTTCACACCATTCTCCTGCCTCAGCCTCCCGAGTAGCTGGGACTACAGGCGCCCGCCACCTCGCCCGGCTAGTTTTGTATTTTTTAGTAGAGACGGGGTTTCACCGTGTTAGCCTGGATGGTCTCGATCTCCTGACCTCGTGATCCGCCCGTCTCGGCCTCCCAAAGTGCTGGGATTACAGGCTTGAGCCACCGCGCCCGGCCCAGACTGTATCATTCTTTACGGGCTGTCTAGCTCTGTCCCAATACGCTGCTCCCTCTCCAAGGTAAATCACTGCCTGTGTGCCTTTTGCCTTGGATCTCTCTCTTCCAGGTACTTGATGGAACGTGCTTTCCTTCCTATTTGGAGTTCAACAGGGCCATGCAAAAGCGAGGGGAACTGATATGTGGTCACCTGGCCTGAAGCTTTTAAGAGCCAGCCCATGCTTTGTGCCTGATCTCCTCCCCACCGGCCTGGTGACTGGCACTACGCCAGAGAGTACCTGCTCTGTCTTTCTGCCTCTCTGAGAGACAGAGTGGTGTCCTGCCACCAACCCTCGTGGGACAAACAGCCAAAGGGAGGAGGGACAGAGATGTAGGTGGTGATCTCAGGCTACCTTGGCATACCCTGAAGGAGGCACCACCTCTCCAGTCCTGGAGCTCTCTGACTTGTGCAGGTGGCATTGTCGTCATTGCTCATTGACTTGGCTGCATCCCTCAGGAGACAGCTCCCAGACAGCAGGACAGAACCCCGGTCATGCCCCTTCATGCCCCTTCACACCTCTTGTCCAGAGTATAAGTCCTCGATCCCTGAGTGAAATATGGATTTATGTATGGATTTACGTGGTGAGAGGGGATGAAAGGAGAGGTCTTTGGTCATGGTTGTTAGGAAGTGAAAGTACCATTATGATAATCAGAATTATCAGTCTTTGAGGGGAGGCGGATCTTTTCGCTCAGATTGCCTGAGTTCAGATTAGCAGCTGTCCTTTGTCATCTCATGAAGGGTTTAAAGTGACCTGAAAAAATGTCACCTGGGTAAGGTCAATGCTACCTGCACTTTGCCCTTCCCTGGACTCTCTCATAGGAGTTCTTATGTGCATCAGCCCTTCCCCAACCAGGAAAGCACCTGTTCTAGGAATGTTTTACACTTTCAGTCGTACTGGAGCAGCCTGCTCCTGCTGACTCCTCACCCCTAGACAAGTCTCCTTAGCTGCACATATTTCCGCAGAAGCACTCTCTCTGCAGTGTCATCGGGTCATTTGGTGACACAGACCACCAGGCCCTATTCATTTAGCCAAACCCGTGTTTGGTTTAAGATTGTCATCACCTGCTACTTTTTCTTACTTTAATTCTTAAGGTTCTCTGCTAAAGGCAGCACAAAGGCTAATTACCTTATAATAGTTGTCCTTTAAAAACACTAGATTAAGAGCCACTTTATGCTTTTTATTCTGCTTTTCCTTTGTCATCTGTCTCTGCATAGCTATCAATAGAGCAGCATTTTTGTGCTTTCACTGGAGAATGTTTCTTTCTTACTCATCAATTTTCAGAATGTTGTTTCTTTCTTTACTTATGACAACTATTTAAGCAGACAAAAATAGCTGTCGTTAAACCTAAATTATTACTGATATTTTTCTTTCACTTTTCTCTTCAAGTTAGTATCATTGAGCTATTATTGATTGAGTGAATACTATTGAGCAATTATTTACTGTGAGTCTATCACATGTCAGGTGGGCTAAAATGTTTTTTCTATAATATTTTACTTAATTCCACCTAAGAAAACAGGCAAGACAGGGAAATTAGGCCCAGAGTGAAAAATAGCTTCTTCAAGGGCATGTAACTAACCCAGAATGTAAACCCAAGATAATTTAAACATGATTGCTTTGATCTTTCTGCCCCATCCATTTATTTCTCTATTTCCCTATTTACATACTTCAGCATGGACATTAGTTCAAAGTGTTGAACTTTGTTTTTGTCCTCACCAGACCCCTGAGCTTTCCTCAGGTGCCTTCTCCATGAAGCATATTCCAAATTTCCTTGTCCCAACCTCCTTAACGTTGATGAAATAGTGTCTATTCCACAGTTTCCTTCATCTCCTTGGAATGGTAGTGTTTGCTTACATATCCATCTTTCCCCCTTACACAGTGGGTTCCCTGGGATGGGATCTAATTTTCTTCCTGTATTTCTGGGCTTGGTTACCTATGACCCAAGCAAATAACATCTAACCCTCAGGAGTGTCTGAATTTGCTGATCTTACATTGTGGGAGTGAAGAAAGGGCATAATAATTGTAGAAAGAAATCCTGGATCCTAACTTAGTGACTCACAGTATTAAAATTCTCTCTCTCTATGAATCTAAGCATTGGAAGAAAAACTGTGAAAAACCAATCCAGAAATTTCAACACAATTTCCAAGGCTTTATTTAACATGAACTACTGTTCTTTGGCCAAGCCTACTCATCTTCCTTGGCATGTTGGACCCTAATCAGTCTGTTGGTTTAGATTGGATATCAATCTGCAATACAAAGCCAAGCCTGAGTGTTCACACTAGCTAGTGGGGGAAGTAAATATGGTTGTTAAAGCATAAAAGCAATGGGACTGATTTGACCAAGGCAGCCGCAATCAGTTTTATTCTTTAGATGCCTCTGAAAACTCATCTTTATGGTAGCATGCTATGGGCTAGAACATTTCAGGACCTCCAGGCATTGCTTCCTTCATTAATGTACTGATGACATTGAGAAGGTTGTGAGAAGCAGGAAGTCTTGAAAACTTAGTTCATCATTGGACCAATCACACACACGTGTATATGTGTACACACACACACACAGAGAGACACAGCAATTATATGCCACAGGCCCCTCCTGAAAGGAGATGGAACCAGGACTTGATGAGTGAACCTTGCTGAGGTCCCGTCAAATGTAATGAACACGACAGAATAAAGATCTACATAGCCAAGGCTCTCTTGCCTGCAGCTATACTGCTCTGCAAGTGCCTGACTGCAGAAGCTAAGCATGGTTAGGCCTGGTTAGTACTTGGGTTGGGAGACTGCTCAGGAAGATCCATTGCTTTATGCTTTAAAAAAAAAAGAAAGGAAAGAAGCCTATCTCATGCAGCCTTCTGCTTGTCCTTCATTTCTCCTCCCAATATCTTTGCTTTTCCTTCTTTCTCATTAAGAGTTAGAGGAAGAAATGCAGTTATTAACAGATGATAACTCATGTTCGCATGGTTTTTGTTTTTATTTTGAAACACAAAGCAATCTATTTCTAATTGTAGCTCTGCTATCATTCTTCTTATCTCATAACACATGAATAAGACCAAAATGGTTTTCATGTAGATCTCTCAGTCCATTGTCTATGAGTCTCTGTGTTCTTCCCACAAGCATCCTGTCTTCAGCCCTCTCACAGCCCTAACCCTAATGTGATCATGGCTGTTTGTGTTTTGTTTTGTACCTTCTCTCTCTATTGTTCCCTCTCCACACCCTATACCCTGCATGGTCCCAAGCTGTTTGAAGGAAGAGACGGGGTGGGTGTCAACTGTGTCTCTAATTTCTTAGTGCCTGATGCACCATACACTTATTTAGGCCTTGACTCTGAATTGCGGATACTCTCACACCCTGATACTTTACAAAGTTTGCTTCTCCATTTGCTAAGGAAGAGGCTGAGTGTCATATGTGGCACAAACCAGGAAACTAGACCCCCGTGGCAGCTCTCAGTCCTCGGCTCTTGTCCTAAGCAATTCTACTCACTCCCAATCGTCCATACCTCATTTAAGCCAGCAGAAGCCTTAGAGCAAACTGCCTTCCTCCAGCCTAAAAGGTGATTAAGCTGCCTGTTTGGTGTGGGGATAAGGGAAATCTTATCCCACCACATGCCCCAGGTTGAAAGGATTCTTTTCTAATGGCTATTGTCACTGATAAACTTTTTATAGAATACTTATCTTAGTTAATTAGGGCTACTATGATGAAGCACCATAGACTGGATGGCTTATGAACAACAGAAACAGACTTCTTACAGTACTGCAGGCTGGAAGTCTGAGGCCAGGATGCCAGCATGCTTGGGTTCTGGTGAGAGCCCTCTTCTGGGTTGCATCCCCTGCTGAATTCTCCTTATATCCCCACATGGCAGAAAGAAAATGAGCCAGATTTCTGGCCTTTTATAAGGGCGCTAATCCATTCATGAAGACTTCACCCTCATGACCTAATTACCTCCCAAGGGCCTCACCTCCAATACCATCATGATGGGGGTTTGATTTTAACATATTAATTTTGTAAGGACACGAACATTCAGTCCACATGATACAATG